CTCGTTTTTTCGTCCAAACCTTTTTATCTTTTTTTTTTCTTTTGTCATTTGGATAGATTATATTAAAAATTGGAGTTACAAATATGAATTACGACTATGAGCTGGAAAAAGATTTACTCAGAGTCAAAATCTCAAATAAGAAAAGTAATAGTCCAAACAAGAAAAATACAAACCGATAAGCTAAACTATGAATGTAACGCTAAAAAAATTTACTTGAAGTCAAAATTCCAAATAAGAAAGGTAATAGCCCAAACAAGAAAAACACAAACCGACAAGCTAAACTATGAAGGTAACGCTAAAATAAAAAGGAAAGAAATTGATGGATAAGAAACGTGAATCCTCACCACTAAAACTGTAATTTTGATCCAAAACGCTTGCACGACTTTCCATAATAACTTGTAGATAGTAGTTGTACGAAACAAACAAAAACTTCAAGACCCTGTAGACGGACCGAAAACAAGTTTCACGGACAACAACACTAACAAAATGAAACGCAGAAATGAAACAGAACATAACACAATAGCCACAACAAAGTGACCTTTTCAAAGCAACTTCGAGAGAGAAAAAGGACGAAGATAGCAACAATAGTCTCAATTTTTTTTTATCTGACCAAAAATTTGAATGCATTGTTTCTTTGCATTTTTTTATCTCTTGATAAGTGTTGAAAAAAAAATATATCTTGATAAGTAAAAATTATAATATGAAAATGCAAAGAAAAAAGCTTATATGATAGATGAAACAAGACTTTATTATTGATATGATGGAATGAAGAATCCAACACCTTAGGAAAAATATAAAAAATGTTATAAACCATTCTTTAAATCTCTAGACTCAAACGACAAACAACTAAACAGACTCTCAAAGACTTAGATTCAAAATGACAAAACAACAAAAACAGACTCTTAAAGACTCAAAACAACATAACAGAATCTTGAAGAATTAAAACTCAAAAGGACAAACAACAAAACAGACTCTCACTCTCAATCGAAAATCCATGGACTGATTCATTCTTCACCACCAAATGGATTGTTGGGCACATTCAGGACTTGTTCATGTCAAGTGTTGTTGTTACCAAACTGCACAGGAGAAGGAGGAGGAACACAATCAAAAGAGATAAAACACAGCTTACACTCTCTATCACCCCAACTATTCTGAAACTTGCATCGTTCGCAGAACCAGTAACTGCTCGATGCATCCTTATCAATATCAACCTCAACTTCAGACAAACCATCCTCAAGAGACTTCAAAAAGTAATGGAAGTAATTACCAGTGTTTTTAGTACTGGTTTCCACTTTGTGTTTGAAGCAAGTGATATCTCCAGCTGAGATGGCTCCATTAATCAACTCATGTAAAGTCTCTTTGTGCTTAAGAAGAACTTTGTTAGCTTCTCCTTGAAGGTGATCTAGGTAAGGCTTCTTTGGGGTTTGGTCCTCCGTCATGAAATAGCCAAACAGTGAACTCCATTTCAGGACTTGGCTGCATTGAACAACAAGCATCGCTGCTTCACTCAAAGCCCTCATGTCTTGTTGACCTAAACCGCAATCCTCGGTTAGTTTTGGGATGATTTTGTCCTCGATTGCTTTCATATCGGATTTAGTTTTCACCAATGCTTCATCAGTTGCCTCCCAGAGACTCAAGTGAGAAGTTAGAGCGCACACATTCGATGGAACAGAGACTTGTTTACAATTCCATTTTCCATTGTGCTCTTCCTCAGATCGGAAGCAGAACCAACAGAAGCTACGACTGATTTACACAAACAAGTAAAGCAAAACATAACCATGAGTTTAAAGATCTATATTTTTAAGCATTAGAAAGGAAAAAAAAAAACATACCCGCAGATACAAGCTATGAGCCTTAAATCAGGATCACCATTCTTCTCCACATTTCTCTTGCAATGAGGACAAGGTTTGGTGTTTTTCTCGATCCAAGCAAGGCTCGTAGCTACATAATGGAGACGATCCAACCAACGGGAAGCATTCTCACAAGTCACCGGTCGGTGTGATTCAACCTTGCAACACCAACAAAATGTGTGACCACACAAGCACACCACACCAAAATCATTGGACACATCATCCTCATCTTCTTGATGATCCTCATGACGCTCTATGGCGTACTCGCAGCCCGGTGCAGGACACCATTTGATCGAGTCCTTGTTACTCACCATGAAAGATTCAAGAACGTAGCTCTCGTACATCTTCTTCACCGTTTCAGCAAATTTTCCAATCGTATCGGGTCCAACAGACGCAATACAGACAGGGTTAGGGCAAAGGAGAACAACAAGC